GGGGCGTTCAGACAGAAGAGAGAGGGTGTCACAGCCATTAGGTTATTTCCTGACTTCCAAATTTCGGAAAAATGAATGGACAGGAACAGCGAAGCCGACTAGGGTTTGGAGACCATGAGCACATAACCCTGGAATGTGCTTGACCTTGGGTCATCTCCCAATCATGTGTGGCCTGGAGGCCGGATCTCGGTTCGGGGTTGGATCAACGAGAAAATGGACAACTACCTGACGGTTTCTTTCTTCATTGCGATGTCCTACTTGGGTTTCCTAGGTTCCGACATCACGGATCGAGAGGTTCGTCCCATCCCATGGCGTTAAAACACTATGGATGTTGAGTAGACGTGGTCCATCCTGCCATGGACGATAACTCTGCGGTTGAAAGCACAGGGTAAAATAAATTATAATAATAAGCACCGGAAATAATCTCAATCGATCGGAATGTGGCAGGGATGATTGACCGGCCGCTTCGCGGATGGCGGGCGCAGACCAAGGGTAAGAGATGATTCCAAGGTTGTTGTTATACCGGCATTTATGGGCTACACGCTCATGATCTACCTAGGTAGTAACAATAATATAATAATGATAATTACATCCAGAACCTTTGTTCCTCAACCAACAAAAGCAAACACGACAGAAGGTAGTACACCAGCTTCTGCCGAGGGAGCATTTCCCACGATGGGTGCCACCCACGAACGGCTGTGCCCGAGATCTCAAGCAAGGGAAGGCGGGGAACGTTGGGCGGTACCGTGGAAACAATCCTGTCCACGGTGCTGAGGAAATGCATGCTACCCATAAGCTTGAGAAGACGGTAGTCTTTCTACATAGGTAGTTTGATCCCATCCATATGGGCATCGCGTCTTCTTCCACACCCAGTTCCTGATTTTCATCTCCTTTTCATTTTCTCTCTCTCTCTATTTTCCTTTTTTGTTCCCCATCTCAACCGAACCTCCGAGTATGCGCAATGAAAGTGGAGGCCCCCTGCTTGCAGCTGGCGATCAGACCATCCAGCGCTGGAGGGGGGGGTTTTCCCACTCGACAAATAATCGGGGGTGGTCGGATCGCCTATCACGAGCAATTTCAACGGCGTAGGTTTTTTGGGCTAGCTGCAGCCGACGGGCGTAAGCGTGGTATTTTTCCCCCCTGCTGATGTGCGATCCAGTTTCCCCACTACGATCGTTGCCAGATCTGGGCCAAGGAGAGACAGGACTAGCAGCAGCCACTCATCTCACACAGCATTCGCCTGGTGCAGGTATGTCTCATTTCTTCTGGCTCGTTCTTTTCCTCATGTTATTTTCATGGCTATTCTTCATGAGTATTTCTCATTGGATGCTACGAGTCAGTTCTGCTGTCTCCCATTTTGGTATGTACATACATACCAGGGAGTCAGTATGTTTCTTTTTTTTTTTTTTTTTTTTTTTGCTTCTTTTCTTTTCACGAGATCTCCTCGACCGTGGAGAAAGTAGCCTGGGCACTAAGATTGATAGTTCTTAAACGTCCTCCACAGTAGCCAAACTTAGTCACATGTGCATATTCCGATATACTTGGCACCGACGGCAAGCGCTTCAAGTCAGAGTGCGCCCAGTAGTGTAGACCCAGACGAAGATCGGGGGCAAGATCTCGATCTTATCATCAACAACAAGAAGGATACTCAGTCGGGGATACACATCAATGAGACATCCCCTGCGTGGTGAGTTGGCCAGCGACCGTACGGCAAGGACTTGTGGAATGTCCCTTGCAAGAAAAGAAAAAGTCTGGTGGTCTCTCTGCCGACTCATGGACTGTGCAGAGGATGCGCAAAACCCAGCCGTCTGGTCGTACAAGAATAACAACAGCCACAAAAACTTGCATAATCGATTGACAGCTGAGAGTTTTCTTTGCGATGGTACCTACAGGGTATCTGTGTATAGATTTTGTTGGACGGCTGTACTGGACGATTCCATCTCCAGATGGATATGATTAAGGTATGCGTGGGGCTGGGGAGTACATAAGGTACTAGGTAGATCGTGCTGAATGGCTGATGTCTTCAAATAGAAAAGGATGGTGTTCCTGAATGAATCGGCATATTTTATCCTCATAGTATGGCAATTCTTTTTTTTCTTTTTTTGCCCCTTCTCTCCGCTGACTTGGACCTGGGAATTTTAGTCACCCATATCAGGATGCCAACCCGCCTCTTAGTCGATTTTCCCTTTTCCATCTTTAATTAAAGTCGGCCGGCCGTTCCCCTAATTTGCGTAGCGTGCGATCTATGGATCTCAATACCTTGCCGACCCATCGCCCTCCAGCCCAGTCATCGTTACCGTCTCCAGGGACCACTTTTCATCATTTTCTGTTCCTCCTCAGACTAGGCCATCCACCCCTCCTTCCAGAACTGATAGTTCCCCCCGCTTCTCTCTGTGCTTCCCCAGTGCATACCGTCATGAGTCTCGTCCTGTATACTTTTGAGATCTTATTACCTACCTGCCTACCCAGGTAGGCAGGTAGGTGGCTTCATTGATACCGGGTGTCTTCCCGGCTGTTGTCTCCTTCCGATTTGCGCTTCTACAACACTGACCAAAGTAGATATAAGAGGAGACACTGTGAAGACTCCACTATCATACCTAGAGGAAATTGCATTATTCAGGTTCCCAGCGGACGGTCCGTGGACGTATTATTATCATCAAGGTCTAGGTAAGTTAGGTACCTAGGCAGGTACCTCATCAATGGCGAATGGTAAATACCTGGTCAGCGCATAATGTATTACGGTATGGTCCGTCGTTCCCTCGCTGTACCGTAATGGCGTACCAGTTCGGTAAGGATTACAGGAAGTCCATCTCCCAGGGACAGGCACAACCCCCCCCCTTGGTAAGGCTCCATCGCTCTCCACTCCGATATCCGCACATCGCTAATATGATCCCAACTCACTCCACATTTCGTCGAAGATCCGCAGTTCGCAGCCCGTAAAGCTTCTGTAATTCGCCGTAACTTTAAAATGGTCATTGACTGCCAGTATGATCCGACGATCTCGCCGTCCGTTCTGGCTTTGTTTTGAATTTTGCACGGTCTGAGCTCACCTGAGAGGCTGTTTCTAGCAGCTCCTGCTTGGATCCTCCCATTATCTCGGTTTTCCGTCTTTCGTGTGGGAGTGCGGGCCTGGTGGTGGCAGCAGACCTTAGTTTGCCAAGTCGAATTTTATTATTTTTATTTTAATGTTTTTAATTTATTCGATTTGCTCCATCGGATTTTATTTCAGAAAATATTATTTTTTTTCTCTTTTGTTCCCTTCTAAAAATTAGTGCCATCACCATCGTCATTAGAATAATAATAATAATTATTATTATTATTTTCTATATTCCGATATTTCATCTCTCTTTTCCCTGTCTTCCGTGGAGGAATTATAATTGCTTCCTTCTTCCTTAGAATTACTTTATCGTTTTTCTGATGATTTCCCCCAACATCATAACCCACCCACCTACCTAATCTACAACCTACTTCACCTACCTAATCTCCCTCATCTACTCCTCTCGTCCTCCCGTCCATCCTCTCTTCTGGCATTCCAAACCCACAGAGACGGTCACAAATTCTCCCTTCCTTCTCATCACTCGATACTGGACCCCCTTGACATCGATCGGCTCTGCCATTTTCGGGTCTCCATTCCTCGTCTTCCTCAACCTTCCAGTCTTTCGCGGTGGTTGGTTTCCCACGGCCTTCGTGATCTTCCCAGTCCCTCGATTAGTTCCATTACGAGGTCCCCAGATCGAAAAGGGAGTTCCGGGCAAATCCAGGGCATAGAGCATCAACGGACAGCGCGCGACAAGCGAGAAACGAGAGGACCATCCCCCTTCCACGCGCGCATTCATCGTTATCCCTTGCGTATCTCAACTGCGCCTCCGCCGCTCTCTTTCCGCCCGCCAAAAACCCAACCGCTGTCAAATTAATCTCTCGATCGAAATCTGACAGTTGAAAAAGAAATTAATAATCAAAGGGATTTATTTTTTTCTCCATTAGGGGAATTTATTTCTTTTTGTGCGAGGTTTTGGCTTTGGACAGATGGTTGTTCGAAGCGCAGGAAGGGCCGTTCCGATCTGATCTGTTCGCTGTGCACTGCGGGTGTGCGCCGTGATTTGGGGGACTTTTCGCCGTCCGCTCTATCAAATCAATTATTCCCCTCCAGTGGACATTTACAACCGCGATCGCATCGCCTGCAGGCTATCTGATCTCTCAACGCCACTTATTCTAACCCAGAGTTCGTTCCAGGCGATTTCTTCTTGGCCTCGAGGTGTCGTTGTTAGGTTTGCGCGCGTTACCTTGGTCGACGTGCTGCGCTTCCGATCTTCCCTCCATACGGCCGTCTTACGTTCGCATCTCGCCCGATTCATCTCTCCCTCCGCCACCACGCCAGACACCTGTGGTAAAGGGTGCGGTGGCACTGTCTTTTCTTTTTTAATTATTCTTGTTCACTTTCTTCGGGTCCCCTGACGTCGATTTTTCTCTTCTTTTAAACCTATTAATTAATCCTTAATTTCCACCCCAAACGCCTCCAGATCTGATCTCATCTTCCCGGTATACACTTCGGATCGGAACCCGAGCACATTGGCTGTCAACCTGCTTCGCCTTTTTATTACTCCTCATCCCCCCCTTGACTCGACTCTTCGTTCCTATCCTTGTTCTACCAGTTACCCCTCGCTACTACGTTCGCGCTTATACATCACCACCTACTCGGTACCGGGCCCCCGTCGGTGGATGAATTTGACGACCCAACACGAGTTATCGCTTTAGAACTATTGACGTGATGGGGTCATTAGACGCTGGTCACAGGCATAGGTTTGTGCTCCTTCTCCAGACTGACAGGCTCTTTGACTCGTCTTTATTTGTTTGGTCGTCCAAGACTGTGCTAACAATCGACTCGCGCATCCAGAGACCATCTACCCTCGATAGGATTGCTAGGAAAAGACGGGCCGGGATACCCTACCGCTACACCAGGCACTCCGACACCCCCAGCTTCCCTTCTCAGTCCAACAAGCATGTATTCGAGCCAACAACTACCTTATTCTTACTCGGCGTCCGGCGCCAACCAGCCAGGCTATATATCGCCGCCCGACTCGCGACGTGCGCTCGAAGAAGACAAAGAGAAACAACAACCGTCGCAGCCGCAAAGACAGTCCCTTCCATCGATCCAAGAGGCTCTAGGAAATGACAACCCTCTCCCGTACCCTGCGCCGACTTCGGCGCCGCCTCAACAATCTCATCACTCGCCCCATCCGTTATCAATCGGACGCCCCGCGGGCGAGGGACCACCGGGACCCCCGAATCCGTTTGGTAACGGCGCACCATACCCAGCATATCCCCATCAGTCTCAGCTGCAAACCGACACATCTCGGTCTAGCTTGGTTTCAGTAAATACCCAAGACTCCAGAAATCCCTCGCTACAGTCTCTAAACTCGGGAAAGTCTCCTACACAAAGTGCGAAAACCGGAATTACATCCATGTCTGGCTCGCAGTCCGGGTACGAATACAGCGCACCTACTTCTGCGGGTCCGATTGCCTCGCCCAATGGCTATCCCTCCTATTCACAGCCCTACCAATTTCAGTCGCAACCGCCTCCCAACGCGCCGCCATATCCTGCTTCCTATGATTCCCGCCCTTATGGCGCTACTTCGTGGAAACATGGTGTACCGGAGACTGGACGGGTCGAGGCAGGGCGGCATTTGGCAGGCCACCCCCAGAATGACTCTGTCAAGCGACATTTGGACGATGTGGAGACGTCACTTAATGAGGTATGTGCTTTACTCCGTTGGGAAAAGGAGTGGGCTTCTGGATGAGCCCCTCGATGCAGAGTTCGTTCCAGTGTACTAATTACGATAGATTGCCGAAATGAGCACCCGCACATTGGACTTTTCGAGACACTATGCGGCCAAGGCCCACCATACCCAGCGCTCTGGACCGATGATGGGATCGCTCCCCTCCGTCCACGAGGTCGACGAGATGCTTAATATGCATCGTCGGAATTATGAAGCCTTCATGCGGTTACGGACTGCCGTCATGAACCAGGAATTCGCGATGCAAGAAGAGATGGCCCAGCGAAAGGCTTTTAAACCGAGTGGGGTTCGCAATGATGACCACATGGCGATGTACCAAGAAGAATACAAGGGCAGTGGCGGGTTTGCCGGTCCGGATCCCAAAAAACGACGAGGGGTACGTTGAATCTGTCATAATTTTCCCTGATCCCCCTTTTTTTTTTTTTTTTACCGGTCTGCTGGGTCCTTCATTTCCCAGTCCTACTAGTCGATGTTTCCACCCACCGTTACCCCGTTGGTCATCACTGACACCTCTTCTAGAAAGCTGCCCCTCCTGGCCGTTGCCACAGCTGCAACCGAGCCGAAACTCCAGAATGGCGCCGTGGTCCGGATGGCGCCCGGACTCTGTGTAACGCCTGCGGGCTACACTACGCTAAACTGACACGCAAGATGGGTGCGAAGCAGGCGTCCGCATTGGGTTCAAACCTGAAACCCAAGTCGCTTGACTCCGCGTCGCCAACCAGCCATTGATTGTGCCAACTTGATCCATTTATGCGGCGTTGAATCGGCTTCGGGATTAGACATGCCAACCGGCGTTTTGTGTCTTGTGTCTTTCTGCGATCATGAGGTCTTTCCCCCGAAAATTCTCGTTTTGTTGCTTCCCTTTTCTTTTCCCTCGGTCTTTTAATATTTTTACGGACGGTACAGTCCATTGGGTCATTCATTCAAGTGCGGGATTCCTGTTAGGCGGCTGGGTTGTTACGAGTTTTCCCGAGCATGTGGAAATCTTTTCCTTGTCTTATTCGTCCCTGGAATTATTTCTAATACCCCTCGCACGTTGACGTTGTGGAAAAAAAAGGGCATTCGGATAGACAGTTAGCTTTGTACCCTGGTTGTGTTCTTTTTCTCCTGTGGGGCTGACAGTTCATGGTGTTGCTTTTGTCTCTTTGCCCTCACATTCACCTCTTATTGTCGTTGCTGTTATACTTATACCCCTGTTTCTTACCTGCCACCGACTTGTTTGGAATTCACCTTGGTGATGATCGCTCACAGATGTGTATGTTCCATCTCCATGCTTTCATGTCGACTTTGAGGAATGCTTTTAGACTCCACAGTGACGGCCTTAATGTAACATGATTTTACATGAAGCGATAGTGCTGTACGTTGCTGTACTTGCATATTAGACGAGATCTTTGTAGACCATCTGAAAAGGGAAATTGCCCAAATGAATAAACAGAAACGGGTAGGAGGGTCAAGGACGGAGATGGTCCCCGAGTGTCAGATCCCGATGCCGCTTGGCTGCCAGAGTGGAGGCAGACGGCCATGTGGCTTCATTAAGATGGCGATATGGCCAGACGGGACCTTGGATCTGAATGGGTCGACGGATGTGCAAGTGCTCCAGGGAACAGGCAGGGGGTGGTTTGAGACCCCGAGATCGGGAGGATTGTCTCGATATTGGCCACCACTGCCATGTGGCGATGGGGCGTCATACAGGAACGAACCTGGGATATGCCGATTTATCCATTTGCCATTTGTCCCATTCTTTTCTTTTCGCCTCCTTTTCGCTTCCCACGCGAACTGCTGAATGCGTCAGCCAAGTGATTCCGTCCCATGGCGGAGGGTCAACCACGGAGTAATCCGTAGGTACCGATCTGCGATTTCCAGTGCCCATTGGAGGGTCGTGGAGAGGGGGGTACTCTTCTGGATGATACAGCGGGCAAACTCTGGCACTACCACTCATACATTTGGAATCGATCTGTGCGCCAGATAGATTGCAGAGGGACGATGTGTCTCCGTTTCCACGTCCCTGGGACGGAACACCATACCCAGATAAGCTAAATTTTGGAGTTCGTGGACTTGACTCAACCTGACATGGGCATGACAGGGGGTTGCTATACCCAGAGCGGTATAGTGTATACAGTCTTACCTAAGCACACGTGCATCGGCAAAACATTGAAGTCAGAAGCCAATCAGCAGCCCAGAAACGGGCGAGACTACGCTCGAATCAGCCAGAACCGCCCCGCGGATCCGCCCATACATTTCGGCCGGATCACCCTCCAGACCCGTTGCAGGATGACGTCGCACTGGGGTGGTCTAACTTTTATTGTTTGTTTTCCCCCTTAACCCTTTCCTGTTCTTCCATCTTCTCGCCCGAACACTTCCATCGGTTGCGATGGAAATCTCTGATGCTCACATGTCTACAGGCGCAGTCAATCTGCACTGAGTCTTGGCGATATCGATAGTGGCTGCTCCCTGCAGGTCCTGATTGGCGCATTCTTACTTACAGTTCGGGTCCGATTTAGTGCGAAAACACCGACATGGCCGCTAGGGGCTGCGCGATCATGTTGGATCGGATCTCATCTCGATCTTGCATGAATCGTCGAATTTTAGATGGACGCCACTTGGCCCTAGGCGACCGACCTCGGTTGCCTGATTTTGCCTCCCTCGATGCATTGACGGGGTTTGCGCGTGGTCTCACCACCGGATCTCCCTCCGTGTACGATGGAGAGGAGACCTTTTCGATGTGCAGCATGATTGGAGCAATATCTCCATGTATCATGTCGTACGGTTTCTTTAGCTAGACGGCCGGATCAAGCCGGCAAAGCATCAAACAACGAAATCAGCCCGGTCCAACTTAATTTCACACCTAGTCATGAATCGGCACACGATCGATCCATTTATGCAGCTGGTATGGAAATATCCACGTACGACAGTGGCCTAGTGCTTCCCGTGGACCTGGGCCCTAGTCGCAAACTAAATTCCGTAGTCTTTGGTCGCGCCCTCAAAGACAATCAATCATATCGAAGTATTCGGGATTTGGCCGGCGAAGCTAACGTACTCCGTGAATCATCTATACCGCCATTCTGAATGATTTGGAATTGTCGTCGGCCGCATCCACATGTCTCTCCCGTGATTCCAAATCACGATGCGCCGCCACGCCCGTCTCCCCAGCCACTGAATCGGATATGGGACCCTGAACCCATGAAGCGTTCGCTTCGCCAAACTAGGTTTGGTGGACTCGGCCGGTGTGGCCACCAACCCGGGTTGTAACAACCAAACTTCATGTCAGGGGATCCGGCCGACTCGGAGGACATGACGTCATTAGCCGTGGAGGAACGGGGACTGGATGACTAATCCTGATGGGACTGACTAAGGTCGAACTAGATAACTAACTAGGGTGGACATACCAACCCAGTATGGACAAGGTCGTGTTGACATCTGCCTTCGCCAGATCCAGCATCGATATGCAACTCCCTTGATCTTCCTGATCCATCCACATGGTCCACCGTCCCAGTCTCTCGGGAACACAGCGGTGTGCAAATCCGCCCAACATGGACGAGATGCAATTGCCCCGGTCCACTCAGAGGTGAAAACAAGGCCTGCACGCCTATTCAGATGACCATCGACGGCCACAGCGGGTCCATTTCTAGAATAGCCCGATCAGGAAGCCGCGTCTAAACCTCGGGCTCGCTTGCATCTGCAGACACGATCCAGTGAGGTGTATCTGCGATCGACATCCCAATACGGCTACTGCTGGGATTCCCCAGGCACCCGATTCCTGCAAGCGACATGCATCCTTGCCTAGTTCAGCTGCGCACTCTCGGCTTATACCGAAGCAAGGATCGACGGCGTGTGCAGTATCGACATGGCATCATGCCTCGAGGCTCCAGCCGAGTGCCTCCCTCTGCATGTAAACCGCATGCCGCTCCGCGTACCTTCGATAAGTGGTATCCAATAGACATTCCGAGATGAACACCTCCATCGCAGACTAACTTCCCTAGCCATCTAATAGTCTCCCGCCTTGGGGATGTCGCACCCCCTCGTTTCTCTCATTGATCGGCGACGTCTCCCGAAGTCTTCGTGTCCACACGCGCTCCACTCGTCGAGGGGTTGTCCTGCAGGAGCCGATCTAAACTACCGTATCTACGTCGTACCAACCCGATGCTAGTCCGCTGGGGTTCCATATATGCGGTCCGCGGCCCCACGGCGACCAAGCTGCTCTATCTGGCCACTGAGGGACGAACCTGGGGTCCTTGGTTGGTCGATCTACTGCGACCATACCCTTCGGGGGACATCTGTTCCTCCCGCAAAAGACTTGGGGTGGATCGGGGATCGGCCAGATTTCTTCGTTCTTCCTAGTCGATCTAGTGCAAGACAATGATAAGTTGTCGGATCGAGTGGGAGCCGTGGATTTGGGCTCCTAGTCCGTATTGTGGTATGGTATTACTGTCTGTCTGATCACTACAGTACATACTCCTGGGAAGGTCGGGGACATACCGTCATAACAATCCTATCTGGGATGTATCGTACTGTTGGTCATTACTGACGACGACCGACCTAGAGACGGAGGTATGTATCGTATTCTCGACATCTAGGTAGGTATTATCCTGGATGTGTGCGGCTTTGCGGTCCTTTACGGTCCTCCTTCCTCTTTGGTCTTTGCCTGCAGGACCGTATGGTATCGGGTACCAGGTACCTCAAGGTACCTGGCGCAGCGGTATGTACGGGGTAAGTTGCGTTCCATACGTTGGGCACGCTTCCTCCCTACGACATACATACATACATACATACATACATACATACATATGCTGTGGGACGCAGACTGATACCGCAGCAGTATTGCTTATGTCCACCTGCATCGATATTGTTCCCTCCCTACAGAACGCCGCCCGCACCAGGTAGATCAGATTGGAGGTCTGCATGATTGCTACCCGTTACACGGCAGCAGTAATTGAACGTCTCACATCGGGAGCCCCCATGATTCGAACCAGGTGGACTGTGCCAGCGAAACAGTGAGACTCGCGTTGGAGGCCGGTCGAGTGTCTTTCAATCTTCTGCCTGCAACAGTGCATACGTACAATACATATCGCCGTACGATACTGATTACCTTACGGCCTTCGTGGATCATGCATCCACGGAACCTGTGGCCTGTTACGGGGGTCAGGGATCCCACCGATCCGCCCACCACCCACCACGTTACTATTGAACGGGACGCCAAAGCCCATGAAGTTAGGCTGCGATAGTGCGGCCAGGATGATGGAAGTCTACTGGAACGCCCAGGCCGGGGATTGGGTGAGGACCCGATGCTGCAAGATCGTCCGACCATGGCCTGCCGCAGCGTCGATCGATTCGATCTCGAGAGTTAGTCGGCGAGGTGCAGCCCCTGAGATTGAGCCGTGAACACGAGGGGGGAGACCATCCTACTGGCCAGATGGCATGCATGAGGTGCGTCCTAGCGGTCCTGGGGAGGAGGTGCGGGACAAAGTTTGTTTCTTTAGCCTACAGGCCCATCCATGGGATTCCGTACACTAACTACGAAGAACCTTTTCCAGGCCGATTGATTAATGGACCCATCCCCACCACGGGACGATGATTCCAAATTACTAGCCCGTCGTCAATCTTGATCCTGTTTTGATTCAAGAGCGATACCTGACCCGAGGACTCGGGTTCGGTCTCGGCAGATGATCGAATCTTCTGCGGAGTACATCCGTCTTCCGTGGATGTGATGCTTGTCTACACTTAAGCGGCCCAGGCCCGTATCTTCTTGTTCCTGACTGGCGTTACGCGACAGATCACTGGCGCCATTGTGTCTGGCTTGTACCTGCGGTGCAGAAGTGAAGCCTACCGCCGTGCGCGCGCGTGATCTTTCCCTTCGTCGTCTTTGTCTTCAATCTCCGCGGATATGATATTATCTGAGGCATCTGGTGGAGACGCTCGATTTCATGGCGCGGTGGGTGCGATGACCCTGATTGTTTGTGGATGGGATCGATACCCGGCGCGATCGACGGTTGAGAGATCCGACCAACACGGGAGCGAACCGCTGGGCTGAATGGTGGGACTCGATGAAAAATTTGATGCTCAACACGACTATACGTTCTTTCAGTTGGGAAAAAATTTTCGGGAAATCACCAAAAGAGGAAATAAACCCAGGTCTCGATAGTCCTAATATGGTTCTGCCTAGACCAGGAACAAACAGTGTGGTTGGGCAGGTTTGTTGAGGACGAACGGCTGGTCCGTTCCACATAGTTCTTAGCGCCGGGGCCTTTTCTCCCCCTTGCCGATCTTCCCAGATCAACGATCGTTCCAAGGGGCTCTGCTCGGCAATCGGGGATTTATATTTATGGCTTTGAACTAATAATTGTCACGATTCAGTGATCACCTTTGTCCTCGGCCGGCCGATCGGGATTGATCGGGTGGCTCTCGGTATCCGTGGATTCTTTGGCGATCACGACCAAGCAAGGGGTCGGTGTCAATTGTTTGATTTTCACGTTGCTCGGTGTGTCTGTGTCTGTGTCTGTGTTTGACATGTCTGCCGACGTAACCGCGGTGATATGCGCACGGGCTTTGCATGATCGGCAGGCTGTGGGTGATCTCATCCAGATCGTAGCATTAACCCAATTGAGAGGGTAGAGATCTGAAAGGCCTACGCAGTGTAACAGGGTTTCATGATTACTGCGAGACTATCAGTAATAGTCTTCGAGAAGCATTCCTGAAATAGATTAAATCGATATCGCTTTCACAGCCGCTATGAAATGTATGCGCGATGACACCTGACTAGGCCTTTTGCGTCGCGTGCGACTCAGCCATGGGGAGAACACCACTAGACTGTATACTCTGCACACCTGTAGTGGACGGCAGACTCTCGACCTCAGCCGACTCGTCGTCCGGCTTGTCCGCACGCACAAACTCCAACGCCGTCACCTCCTCCCAGTCATCGTCACTTTTCGCACCTGGCTTTGGCGAGACACTCTCAGCCAACAGGTCAATGCTCTGCTCGACGTCCTCTTTGTTAACAGTCTGCTCCTCGGGCTCGGGCGGGTGGTCGCCGGCAGAGTCGGTGGTGGGGCAGGGGCCATAGATGCCGTGAGACAACGCTGGCGACGGCGCAGACTCACCGTCGTGTTGGCGTGCTGAAGTAGACGGACGGTCCTCTTCTGGGGGGAAGACATCACTATGCCGGTCAGCCGCGGAAGAAGCCAAGGGAAAGAAGGGAAGGGGAGAGCGCTTACGGTACGGCCTCTTCGTAGGCACGCTGGTCCTCCTCCTCAAAGTTACAAAAAACAACCTTCTCAAGGGTGACAATATCCGTACCCTCACTCTCCAAAAACGCCCTCGTCTCATCCAACGCGATGCGCGCGGCCCTGCGCTTCGGATACGCATAAACACCCGTACTAATCGCCGGGAACGCAATACTCCGCGCCTTGTTCCGCACCGCCAGCTCCAGACAGCGCCGGTAGCACGAGCGCAGGAGCTGCTCGGGGCGCGCGGCGCCCTTCTGCCGCTCGACCGGGTAGATCGGGCCGACGGTGTGAATCACCCAGCGACAGGGGAGGTCGTAGGCGGCGGTCGTCTTTGCGTCGCCGGTGGCGCAGCCGCCGAGCGTGCGGCATTCGCGGACGAGGCCTGGCCCCGCGGCGCGGTGGATGGCGCCGTCGACGCCGCCGCCGCCGAGGAGCGAGGAGTTGGCTGCGTTCACGATGCAGTCCACGTCGAGGAGCTTGGTGATGTCATGGCGGATTAGGGAGATGCGGTCGTTGAGAGGTTTGGAAGGGGGGTGGGTTGGTGCGGTGATGGCGGGGAGACGGTTGAGTCTGTAGAGCTGGGATAGGCTGGGGATTTCGCTGATGGGGATGTGTGTGGGTGCCATGGTGAGTCTGGGGGTCTTTCAGACTGGAGGTCGTGTGAGTATGGAGTATATGGAGTATGGAATGTTGTGGAGCCACCGCGGGAGGTGGTGGCTGTATACAGGAGACGGATCGATGGTCGTAAATGGAGCTTGTCGGGTTTGGATGATGACGGTTCAAGGCGAGACGAGGTCGATGTGAATGAATAGGTATGAACGAAATACTCCGTAGTTGTACAAAGCTTCCCCGCACGTGCAAGTCACTATCTTATCGGGTGATTTATCAGGCAACAAGGCAGTACTGCAAACATCGCAAACAAGCTCAACGCCGATATCCTCATCATCGCAAGTCGCAAGATTGTTGCGACAACTCAATTCCTCGACCATTGCTCGGAACATGAGGTGTTTATATTCTGCGGAGTGACCCAAGTCTAGCATATTACATACAGTGGTACTACATACTCAACTGCGCCTCTGGATCCTCGCAACCCACCTCCTATCTCCCGATCCAGCAACCACACCCGACAGACAATGCCACCTCAAACGAAAGGAGGGAGCACCTCCCGATTCACAGTGCTTTCTCCCGAATCAGCAAAGTCGCGACTATCTCCCTCGTACAATCATGCCTTCCAGCCCTCCGCCTCTGCCAATCCCACCGCCTCTCCATTCACCCCTCCGCCATCCTCACACCCCCATCCCTCCGCACAACCAGGCCGACGACCCTTCTCCCCATTCTCTACCTTCCGAGCCCGCTACGCCGCGCTCCCCCTCCCCATCCGCAGCACATTCCGCGCCCTCCGCATCCTGGCGCCCATCATCCCTATCGGCCTCTTCTTCTCCGAGCACGTCGCCCAGGTGATGTGGGTGCGCGGCCCGTCCATGACGCCCTACCTGAACGAAGACTACGACCAGATGCACACCAAGAGCGACATGGTGCTGGTCAACATGTGGCCGTGGAGCGGCTCCGGGTGGCCCTGGGAGCGGAAGAGACACCTCGAACGCGGAATGGTCGTGACCTTCCGGTGAGTTACCAAAGCAGCTACAACGAAATCCATGCTGATAGAAGTAGCTCCCCCGCCAACCCCTCGCACATCGCCATCAAGCGCGTTGTTGGTCTTCCCGGCGACCGCATCACCACCCGCGAACCCTGCATGAAGTCGTCGCAGATCGTGCCCTTCAACCATGTCTGGTTGGAAGGGGATGCGAAGGACCCGAAACGCTCCCTGGACAGCAACACCTACGGCCCCGTCAGTCTTAGTCTCATTACCGGTCGGGTCGTCGCGGTGCTGTGGCCCCGGTGGAGGTGGCTGCAGTGGTCGGATTGGGAGAAGGGCGTTGTGGAGGGCGATGTTGACGGCCGGTTTGGGAAGGATTATCGCGCGGATGTGAGGCAGCGGGTGTTGAAGGAGGCGGTCAAGATTGAGAGGCCGGTGTTTGAATAAGACGGCTGCTGTGGCGATGTATATACTAGATTTGTACTATATGCTTGTATACAAAATGCTGATGAGGCAAGACATGGTTCGCTATATTCTCGTCCAGTTGCGGGTGTTAAAGGATCCTTTCTCCTCCTCTTAGTCCGTCTGTCTCCCGTCAGCTACATTTCAATGTCAGTGCCTGTATGCCAATGGAGACCTTGCGCAAACACCCTTGAAGAAGCTGATGTGAGATAGACAGGAGTCATACAACACCACGGATTTTGAATGCCATGGACATAGAGTGACTACCAGTCTTTCAGACACTCAGCAATAACAGACTCTCTAGCGTGTGCATTTGAACCACACTTGATAGGCGAATTTTTAGATGCGTATCATGCTCATGGATAATAGTACAGGCTAACAATATCACTCGCTGTTCAGTACACATCAGAATGCCGGTCACTGAAACAATGCTGTTTGCCAACTTCAATGGACGATTCGGATATCATCCGGCCGACTTTCTTGAAGTCGATCGATTTCCGAAGCAATACTCATCACCCACTGATCCTTCTCGACCCGAGTCCGAGCTTTGAACACGATCGTGCGTCCATGCGCACCTAGCGCGGTGACTTGTTTCAGTTTTCGTGTCGTCTGGCCCCGTTTTCCTAGCCCCTGTGCCCGGAAGTAATTCTTCTTCAACGGCTGCCAGACCACGAACGTAATGGCAGTGTCCTCATCGCTGCTGGTGAACACGTCCGAAGACAGGTAGACTCGAGGCAGAGTACGATGACCGGGAGTACGATGACCGGGACGGTTGCTATCGAACGTTTGATTGGAGTACAGGAGATCAGACTCGGTGACAAGACCAGAATATACGTAACAGTCACTCAGGTCGATACTCGTCTCAAAGGATGAATGTATGTGGGGTATCTCAACGCCGTTGCGTTTTCTCAATGAGCTGTGGAAGATTAGAAGCTTCCCGTCAGCTAACACAACATCACAACGCTTGAAGGTTGCATGTCGACGGGGTTTCCGGTAAAGCTGCCCGGACATCTGGTACGCTCAATTAGAATCACCATTACCGGCGAGGGGTTGAATCAACGAACCTTTATCGCTCGACACCCAAACAACGAACACATGTTGTGTATGAACGGCGATGCCTCTGCCTTCTTGACCTCCCACTTCTTTGCACGCTGGCCGATGATAGATTCCAAGTCTTCGTCAATTTCGAGGATATCCAAGTTCCGTTTCCGAACGAGTTTGTGCTCAGCTGCATCCGCAGCAACTCGGGCCTTCCAGTATCGGACCAAAGCATCAAGCCTTTTCATCCACTCAAGTTTTGTGTCTTTGTTATATGTCTGAAATCGGGCAACAAGTCCATTGTCAAGCACCAACTCAAACGTCCTATCATCTTCAAAGCTCTGGGTTGCGCCGTCATCTCGATGTGTGTCCGTCGCTTCTGGATGGAATCTAACATCGGGAGGCCCTTCACCAATATTCGGATCAGCTGGACAGCTATCGCGCTGTACATGCCGTATGTCCTGCACCCGGCATAGGTCTATGTGGCCGTCTGCGTTGCAGATGTTGTGAAGGTGTCTCTGCAATAGCGCGTAAGCCTCCTGGTCGTGCGACTTGATATGCACTTTGTTTCCACTGGACAGCCACGTTATCTCACCGTTTACCACGGGAAACGGGTCGACAGGATATGAAAGCGGCATCTGGTCCAATATCTCTTGTGTCGAAGGTATTTCTGACTCGCTCGGACAGAGCCTTGACGGGGCAGGAGGTAGTGCTTTCGCTGGTCTGCAGAAAAACAGGTAGCGGTCTTGAGTGAAGAAGTATAGGCGTTTGTAGAACATCTTATTCATCCGTTGATGAACACCTCTCTGCGATGTCAGCCGGATCAGGAACCCTTCGACAGGCTCAGGCTCATCTTCTTTCACGTCACCTTGATTCACAAAGGTGCAATAATGTTGTCGTGGTCGAAGCTCCAACTCATGAGTAGTTTGCATCCCAAGTGCCCCGTACATCTTCTCCTCCCGCACGCCGTATATCCACTCCAACCTATCGTACCTTTTCCATGCAAGACCCATCCGTCCGGCCTTAGACCAGTCCTCTAGCACGTCCGCCCATTCAGAATGCTTGCCCAGCATCTCCATGCACCCACGGATAATGCTGGCAGCAGCGACTTTCCTTCGCTTCGCTAGTCTTGCGAGTATATCATCCTCATTGTCCTCATCTTCGTGTTCGGAGCCAGTCTCTGGCTGCTCAAAAGGATGCTTGAATATCAGGGAGACCCCAAGATGCGGAACATTGATTGGAAGCGAGGTCGGACGCTGCCATCCCAAAGAGAGGCATAGAGATGTATACCATTCAACCGCATGGGCCGTGGATCTAGGCCGCACGATGTAAATCCGGGTTCCACGTTTGCAAGGCCCCCATATAACAATAGACTTGTCCAGTGACGAGTACAGGTTTACCCTCGTTTGCTTGCGGCCGAGAAGAATTTCATAGTGCGGCGACACTCTTCCGCCTTTCTTCTGTATCTCCGGGATGACACGCGTTTTGTACATCTGGAGCGAGAACGGTGCTTCTTTGTCGGAGTTCACACGGCAAACCACAAGGAACTCTCGCCAATTGTCTGCCACCCGGGATTCCATGCGCAAACTGTCATTCTCCGTATAGTCATCCGGAAGGTCCTGCCGAGTCTCCTCGACGCGGACCAGCATGTTCTCGGCCCTGATTATCTCGCCTTCCTGGAGTTTTCGGTGGAATCGAAGATTGTCCGAGATCAGGCCATGCGTTTTTGACAAACGGGACCGAATGCGTCGTTTCTTGTCCAGGAAGTTGTCGTCCAAGTTGAACTTCGCAGCTCGCCTAGTGAGAGAAAGCCTGGAACTCGTTGACTCTCGCCGGCGGTCTTCATTATTGTCGTTTGCCTCATCGAGCTCGCTCTGCGGCTCCTGGTGGTCCAAATCCGTGGAAGGTGCTTCACTGAGTCTGCCTTTCCCTTTGAGCCCTGGACTGGGCCTTAGTAACGGTGTCGTGGACCCGTGATCGCTAGGAGGTGCCTTGGGACTCGACTGACTGGCTTCATAATGAGTGGAGGAGATGCTCGGCACCTGAAGTTGCTGTGGAGTAATGAGTAGCCCTGTACTCAGCCCACTTCCATGTTCGACTGGGGTGTGCCGGACGACAGACGACTCAGGACGCGTCTCTCTTGCGGTGAAATAGGATGAGGAATCTCCTTCTCTAGTAGGGTGATCTCCACTGTGCTCACTTCCGTTGGGCGAGGAAAGACCACCTGAATCGGATGTTGGAAGAGTTTGGGCAGCCCCCAGAGGCTCATTCAATGTCCGAAGCCGACTAGATGGGCGAATTGTTCTCTGACTGCTAGGTTCGCTCTCTTGTTCGGCTTCTTCCCCTTCTTCCTCTGTTGTCTCCCCTTGATCCTGGTCTTGGTCTTGCTCCTCTTGGTCCGCGGTCGGCAGTTGCAATTCGGAGATGTCTGGGTTTGCGGCGGAAGGATTGACTTGCGTTTCGGCAGAGAAAGTGACGGTCCTCGAAGTATAGTTTCTGAACTTTATTCTCGTCTTATACCAAGATTTCCGGTGGTTTTGCAGCCAGCCTTTGGGAATAGGACCAATAAAGAATCGTCTACTGGTCAGGTGCAGATGATCGGCCGATGCATATCGCTGGAAGATGTGTCAACTCGAGGGATACCGTGCGGAATGTGGGGATAAAAAGGTACGCAAATAAACTCACCAGCTGTTCGAGTGTATAGAATTCCGATTCGGTGTCATGGCAGCAACCGTGAGATGTGTTACGTGGATCCGTCTCCATTCCGGTGCTGACATGCTGATCAGCGGGTGAGTGCGTGCTCATGGCACTCGACGATCGCCAGAACGGCAGGAGTTAGACCAGCATGAAGGGAGAAACAGCCCTGGTGAGTACAATGGGGAGAGAGATCAATCCTGCGCGACAAGCGTCTTATGCCTGTTGAGAAAGGGAGGAGAGACTCAGCTGCTCAGGAACAATAGAGTTTCCCTTTCCCTGGGGTCGATGACGTCGATGTCGGACTCACCCCGTGACTGTGCCCTGTTTGCTCTGTTTGCGTCAGGGGGCGGCGGAGACCCGCTCCTGATGCTTCACCGCTTGCGTGTCCCGCTCCCGGCGGTGTGGCCGTTGTTGATAACTGTCCACATAGCTGTTGCCCCTCCACTCTGTCCTTCTCCCATATCTCATACTCAACATCTTCATTGTTTCAATCTCTCTCTCTTGAACAATTCACCGAATCAACATGTCTGCTGCTATCCCTCCCGGTGGTACTTGGTTCGACACCATCAAGCGCTCTTTCGCTGATGTCCCCATTGATGCCGGCAACGATGATGGAATCTCGACCACCGAATTCCTCGAAGCCGCTGAATCCTTAGTGGCTCTGTTTGGTACGTGGTCTATAGAAGTCCGTGGGTTGGATATTTACTAATTCCTCGAAGATGTCCTTGGTTCCGCTGCCTTCAGTCCTGTCAAGAGCGATCTCACTGGCAACATCAAGGTCTGTCTTCCTCTCGCGAACTCAGAATTACATGCGCCTAATACCCTACAGAAAGTCAGAGACCGGCAGCTGGCTGCCCCTGGTGAGTCTGAGACTCTCCAGGCCCTCGTCGTGAACGAATTGAAGACCAAGAAGCACGTTGCTACTGAGGGCCTCGTGTGGCTTGTCCGGTATAGTCTCCACCACAGTGTTTTGCATATAGTGTCTATTCATCGGTTTTCTAATCATTGCACTTTTGATAGGGGTCTTGACTTCACCGCCCAGTCTCTCCGCCACAACATCGACAACTCCTCCTCCGAACTCTCTGAATCCTTCCGTAGTGCCTACGGAAACACCCTCAAGCCTCACCACTCCTTCGTGATCAAGCCCATCTTCTCGGCCGCCATGTCCGCTACCCCTTACCGGAAGGACTTCTACGCCAAGCTGGGCAGCGACCCCGAGAAGGTTAGTGCCGCGCTGACGCGTGAGGTCGAGGCTCTGGAGAAGAGAGTCAACATCCTGAAGGGCTTCCAGTCCCGCAAGGAAGCCCAGTGGTAGATATATTTTTCGCGAACATGTATAAAGCCGTCTTTCTGCGAAACAACGGCGCAGTGCATAGCATTCTGAGCGTGTAACCTTTCAGTCTATGTATATATTCTAAAATATATGTATCAGATTTCTCTGGCGCGATCTCCTGCCCCCGGCTGTTCCTTTTGGAGAGTTGTATTGAGACTCTACAGACGGCCCACAGATACCGATAGGCTTATTAAGGTAGACACCAAGCAAGCTGTTGGGTTCTGGTCATCGCATGTGTGCATTTGTCTGACGCACGGAACGTAGATATTGACGTAAGGGACATGTCCGAGTACCAGCCCATGATCACGCATCATGTCTTTTACACATCCAGAGCTGAAATGCAAGACTAGTCGGCTCAGAAGCAGGTGTCCTCCGAAACGAATCTCTTATGTGCGGTCTCATAAGCAGGCTTGGTGTTCTGTGTCTACTTACTTAACTGCCAGAGCATAGATGTTTAATTTCAAGCAAGGATTCTTGACTTGGGATGCTTTGTCATACATACAAGTGACTTATAGATATATATCATCCAGCGACCCAGCAAAGTATTACCAGGACATCTTGTCTATTCTATATGTAACAGCACTGTATATATATATATATAGTGTATACGCACAGATGATTGTCATCCCTCCCGCAAGAAGGGGTAGTCAAGCCCATCGCGGTCTTGCGAAGGACAAAACATGGGCTATCCCATTGTCCGGCAAAAAGTGTAGATCTAGATCGATAAGACAAAGCCTGAGATAAGCTTCCCCTGCGTACAGAGTAGGTGGATGGGAGTATCCTATTGGGCTGTTCTATTTTGAGCCCACGGCATTGACGGGGAAGTGACACAGTTATTTACGCGAGCGACCTTAGATGAAAATGCCACAATGGATCACTTATTCTTCAAGACAGACCTCAGCCAGCGTAATTGGAACAAGACTGTCATCCGTCGGTATAGACAGAAACTAGAGCCTTAGTAGCTAAATAATGACTAGGTATATCCACCGTGTCGGCAAAATGAAGCTAAAGAGCCCCCTATACCTATCTACCTAGCGGAATTCAAGAGAAGGGAGCCCACTCTGTCTCCACAATCTGTGACTTGGAGCGTGGCTAGTCTGTTAGATATCGGATATCAAAGGGGATTCCTGAGCCGGCCGGGTACACTTTTGCCGGCAGATGGTTTTAATTATTCTCTATCTTCGCTTCCCAACACTCTACGACCCTAAAATAAGAATGTGGCAGGTCTAACAAAAGCGTATAAATATCTAAAAGCCGTTTTTCTCTAAATTGAACACCAAGTATCCGTAAGACGGCGAATCACAAAAATAGGGACGGTGAGGTCTCCCTACATGGCCAATGATTCTCCTCCTGATGTTGTTAGCTACCGATTTCCCCTTGGGCTTTCTTCGGCACCAACCTTCCGGAAGCTCCTCTCTCTAGCCCAGGAATACGGAGAATACATCCACTCCTCAGCCATATGCTTTCCCCAGTGACTCCATCGGGTATTCCCCATTCTGCCCTAACGATCACGGGCCGACTGGCGAAAAGCGGTTCTGGAGCCGTTGAAGTTGAAAAGCTACTAAAGTTGCTAAAACAGCAGCCCCAGGCGGGATACCATACTAAAGTCTGATCCAGTGAGTCCAGGACACACGTGTCGAGTCTTGGTCAGAAAGAGCCTTTACTCGATCGGTTGAAATCTATACATGGACATTTAACCACCTCGAACCACATCAAGGTCATCTTGACTATGAGGTTTCAATGATGGATACACATCGATCGATCCCAGGAAACTGGGCGGCACGGTTCGCTCGCTGGGTATCTCGATTCTAGTTCATGTTGTTATAATTGGATCGGCAGTTTTGTTTAATTGCTGTGGATATCAACACCAGATTAAGTGGAGTAGAATGTTTTCAACGAGTATGTACTAGGCTAAGCGACGATGGAAGGCAGCGAGAGGCCCCATCCACCGACGGAGCCCTCCGTCTCTTCATAAGCGGGGTGGAAGAGAGGAATAGAAGCAGTAATGATATAACCCCAATTCCACCAGAGCAGGAACTATATTCATGATTACTGTTTGACAGCATAGAACGTACCAGAATTGCTAGCGGTCAAAGCAAATGTTTCACAGACAATGTGTCGCCAGGCTGAATATCAACGGATCAACAAGGTGAGTCCATATGGATTCTATGGGAAGCCACAGGGAACCCGCTGGGGACCCCCTGGTGTTGCACCGATAATCGCCCGTCGGCAGGTCCCGGCAGTCTACTCCGTACGTAACCTGACGGTCGTGCCATGTTTCATCCATATGCAGACTGGCACCTGTCATGCCGCCAGCCATTATTATTTAATAGGGAGTCCTCTGTCCTTTCATGAAGAGAAAACATGCAACCCATACGATGGAGACGATAAATAGCTCGATTTGGGAAGAATAATACTGATACCTGACTTTGACTCTCCCCGTGTCATGTCTTGTCTTCGATCTTGCGACCATTGCTGTGCTCGACTCCCATGGTAGGATCAACAAGAGCACAAAAGGGGTAGAACTCCCTTACAGACCTAAAGCTAAGTACTGACTCGCTGAGGCTGAAAAAAAAGATAGGGCAATGCAAGTCATGATCTAGAAAACCAAGTCTTTGGCTTCTGACTACTCCGTACTACTATCCGGGCGGGGCCCACGAGGACATGTTCCTAACGAAGCACGATGCACCGGTCAATCCCTACTTGTTCGGCGATAGGCGACGAAGAAGGACTGCCGATCTCAGGATCGAGTTGGATGAAGGTCCCATGTGTGATCGGGATCGGCAACAGCACGCGATGCGGCGACGACGACTTGAAATTATTTACTACCACAGTGTCCTTGGGATATTATCATCATCGTGAGGGCTGTAGATGACATTTCCCCCTGTACTATTATTGACAACGGTCGCACTCCACCGATATGGCCTACCTACTAATCTCCGTTCATCATGACTCGCCAAGATGAAAAAGGTATGTACTTGTAAAGAATGATTTTTCTCCAGATTTCCTGCGTTAGTCATCGTAGGGCTTACCCCTATGAAGGGTAGGAATGAAGTAAAAATGTCATCCCAAATTGCAACCCTGATTCACCTATTATTATTATTATTATTATTATTATTATTATTATTATTATTATTATTACTATTACTATTACTATTATTGTTATTTGCCATTGTGTGGTACTAGATTCTCCCTTCTTCCACATGTGAACATGGAATAAAAGACTCCCGATCATCAAATCACTGGACAGAGCCAAGGGGTATTTGCTTGGCGGAACATAGTCTGGTGGGTTCATACGACCAGCTCGGGGCCCTAGAACAGACCACAATCCCCGATCTATGCCTAGGCACATGGGAACCGAGATGAGAAGAAAACTGGCGTCGCCCATTGCAGAGTACCTTTTTCTACAGAGAAAAAGAGGACAATAATAGAGAACATGGCGACACCACCATCATCTTACCACGGAATTACTATTACCTTATAGGAACCACTGGGTGAGATCCTCGTAACGGATATCGTCGACTTTATTTAGCACGAGGCCTGGCTGGCGTGGATCCTCGTCAGGCCTCCCCAAGGAACCAACGACTCCCTACAACCGGAGTGCCCGCTTCGGCCCTCGGTGCTTTATCCTAACTGGACGACTGGTGCGGACGCAGGGGATTTGGTGTCGCAGCTTTCGTCTCCGCGCACACACTTGCGTACGGAGATCCGATGAACCATCCCGTTCTAGGGTGTCCGTGTTACGGCCAGCCCACTTAACCCACTCGACCTTCTGTTTCTACATTTCCTGTTCCTGGAAAGCGTACCACGCCGTCCATGTGCCTTTCCATAGCCTCTGCGTTCGATTTGAGTCTGAGAGCGGCCCCATCCGCTTCCCTGTCGAGCGGGCCAATGTCGCATGTCACGACGTACATGCAAGAAACGCTATTTGAAAATACAATATAGAATCCAACGGAAGGGAAGCAGGGACATCCCGGGTATGTTGCCGCTGCCGAACGTCAAAGGTCAAAGCGCATGTTTCTAGAACAATGGCGCCTGCAATCCATGTCGGAAAATCCGTATCCTGCGGTCTCGTTGGTCACTACTACATCCGGGCTTAGCGGTGGTGGCAGTATTTGCCTCCTCTCGACAATAATCTCATACCACCGTCTCCACCGACTTGCCAGCAAGTGGCACCTGGAGTACGGCTCCAGTCGGCTCTTGGGTGCCACTAGTTATTGCTTGCCACTGAATCCCGTCGTAGAAAGCGAATCAACCAGACGCTTGTTTAGCGTTGAACTCTCTTTTTCTCGCGCTTTGCTTTCCTCTCCCCCTAAAACGGGCCTAATCCGCCTAGAACGACCCTGTCCCGAAGGCCTGTCAGTCGTGCTACTAAATAATAATCATATACTCAGTTCCTTCTTCCCATGGTTCCCTGAGTCGCCTCCCCTGGGGAAACCATGTCACTGGGACTGCTATATATTATTATGAACCCTGCTTGATCTAATCAAGCACTCCACCGTGTGTCAACATGGCCGAACTCGAGGGCCGCAGTTTGTCCATCTTCGTCGTCACCATCGTCTTTTTGGCCCTCTCGTTCATCTCCGTCTGCCTACGATGCTTCGTTCGGCTCCGACTGGTGCGCGCCTTTGGGTGGGATGATGCCCTCATGGTGTTTGCGATGGTATGTTGTTGCGATCCGCCTGATTTCATGGTCAGTCTACTGATCGCGTGTTGTTCTTGCTTTCAGGCTTTAAATATCTTGTTCGCATTATGTGGAATAACCGGGGCATGTTACGGTCTCGGGCATAAACTCCTCGAGCTCACAGAACATGAGAAGAAAACCGCCATGTTTGTATGTTTTCTCCCCCGGACATGGTTCTCCCTCCCACCCGGTCTCGGTGTCTAACAGGTTCAACAGTGGTGGTGGCTTGGCCAGACAACCTATGTTTTCACCTGTGTCGTCGCCAAAATCTCCATCGCATTGGCCCTTCTCCGTCTCACCGTCGCAAAGGCGCACACGATCCTCCTATGGACCGTCATCGCTCTATCAACCGCGGTTGGCCTCGTGTTCTGGTTTGTGTTGACGTTGCAGTGCCATCCCGTCGACTATTTCTGGAGGCGAGTGGAGCCTAAAGTCTTTGGCACTGGGAAATGCTTAGACGTCGATATCCTCATCGACATCGCCTATCTCTACAGTGTCATTGCAACGGTCTGCGACTTTATCCTGGGTCTTCTGCCTATCGCTCTGGTGTGGAACTTGCAGATGACACCCAAGACAAAAGCTGCCCTAGCTGGTATCTTGAGTATGGGATGCATGTAAGTCTATACTCCGTAGTCAGCCCCTAGCACACCCCGATAGGCTTCCTGTTGCTGACTCTCTTGCGTGTTAGTGCGAGCGCGGCTGTCATTGTCCGTATACCCTACCTCCATACCTACAAAGACCCCGAGTTCCTCTGTGAGTTGCCCTACTGAACCGACAATATCGTACGAGAACATTGTCGTCTAATGATCATCCGATATAGACGCGACTGCCGAAATCTCAATCTGGTCGAACGTTGAGGCTGGCCTCGGCATCACCGCAGGAAGTCTCGTCACTCTGCGGCCCCTCTTCCGCTGGTTTAGGGGGACTACCTATGGCGGTACACACAGCATCAAGCCCACCGCGGGCAGTATGCCGTTGTCCAGCATGAACGGCACACATCCATCCCGACAGGACCCATCCGCGACGAAGTTTTGGCGTCCCGACCTGGATCCGGAGGACTCGCGCGGAGTGATCACAACCATTCAGACGTCGCGGACAAGCCGAAACAGCAGCCAGGAGGACTTGTATCCCAGACAGGCGTCCCTGCCTGGGGTCAACGTACACAAGTCTTTCCTTGTAACATCAGATGAGATGTAGAAAAAAAGTATAATTTAAATGAGTGAATGAATTGATCTTTCATTTGTTCTGTCATGATTGAGCTGTACTTTGTAGATTTTTGGGTCTGTACATGGAGAGCATCAACGAGGTGCACAATGTACTCTGATAGAACAAAGGCGAATCCGGGAAAACTCGCGGACCGTTCGGAGTGGCTTCAGGTCTGGCACGTGGGGCTGGCCAATAGGCGCGCGGCGCTGGACCTTCACCTTCACAGGCGGCGAACTCAGCGGAAGGAAATTTGGACCGTTGAGGTGGCTTCTTTGGCAGCATCTTTCCCCATCAGCTCTTTTGCTCTTTTGCAAAAGCCCAACACGAACTGTCCCTCCTGCCAAACACCTTCGCTTCCTATGGTGCATTGAATTCGCTCTCTCAGCCCTCCCTATCTCCCGTTGTTTGACCTCCGGTGTCGACATTCGCGTGTCACCATGTAAGTTAACCATCATCACCCATATCCACCCTCTCGACTAACCTGGTCTCCAGGGCCAAACTCGTGGATGACCCTCAGATTCAATATGCGTCGCTTCACAATCCCCTTCCTCGTCAGCTACACACTTACGTATGGCCGTTCATAATCGTCTGGCCTGCTTTCCTCGCCTTCTACCTCTCTCCTGAGCGCTACGATACATACATCCAGGGCCAGGAATGGACGTTCGTGTGGGTTGCTTCGATCATTACGGCACAGTCTCTCCTTTGGTTGATGACCAAATGGAATATCAACATCAGGACGTTGTTCACCACGACCAAGGCCAGGTCTCTCGACTCCGCCCAGCTCATCAAGGTGATCCCCATCGCCAACGCGGGTTCGGCGGAAATCTGTCCTCTGGTACACGAGTCCATGGGCGGTAAACGAACCATATCATTCTTATTCCAGAAACGCCGCTTTCTCTTCTACCCGGAGCGTCGATCGTTCGGCCCCTTGTCCTACGTCCTCGACGCTGAGCCCAAGCCCGCCCTCAAGACCTTCCAGCAAAGCGAGGGATTCACCACGAAGGCGGAAGTCGAAAACACCCAACACCATTATGGCGACAATACCTTCGATATCCCCGTTCCCGGTTTTGTCGAGCTCTGGAAAGAACATGCTGTGGCGCCCTTCTTTGTGTTCCAGGTGTTTTGTGTTGGTTTGTGGATGCTGGATGAATACTGGTACTACTCTTTGTTCACTCTCTTCATGCTGGTTGCATTTGAGAGCACAGTTGTGTGGCAGCGCCAGCGGACCCTCACCGAATTCCGCGGAATGAACATCAAGCCTTACGATGTTTGGGTATACCGTGAGCGCAAATGGCAGGAGATCACTAGCGACAAGCTTCTCCCCGGTGATCTGATGTCCGTCAACCGCACCAAGGAAGATGGCGGTGTCGCGTGCGACATCCTCCTGCTCAATGGTAGCGCTATCGTCAACGAGGCCATGCTTTCTGGCGAGAGCACGCCCCTCCTGAAAGAATCGATTCAGCTCCGCCCCGGAGATGATCTCATTGAGCCAGATGGATTGGACAAGAATGCTTTCGTTCACGGCGGTACCAAGGTGCTGCAGATCACTCATCCCAACACGAACACGGAAGACTCGGAGAAGTCGCAAAAGGCCACCTCGAAGGTTCCTCCCCCGCCCGACAATGGCGCGGTGGGTGTTGTGGTGAAGACCGGCTTTGAAACCAGCCAGGGTAGCCTGGTTCGTACCATGATCTATTCGACAGAGCGCGTCTCCGCCAACAATGTCGAGGCTCTGCTCTTCATTCTCTTCCTGCTCATGTTTGCGCTCGCCGCTGCGTGGTACGTGTGGCAGGAGGGTGTTGCAAAGGACCGCAAAAGATCCAAATTGCTCCTGGACTGTATCCTCATCGTTACGAGTGTCGTGCCCCCCGAGCTGCCTATGGAACTCAGCCTGGCTGTCAACACCAGTCTGGCTGCCCTCAGCAAGTTTGCGATCTTTTGCACGGAGCCCTTCCGCATCCCGTTCGCCGGTCGTGTTGATGTCGCTTGCTTCGATAAGACTGGTACACTGACAGGCGAAGACCTTGTCGTCGACGGTATTGCAGGACTCTCCCTTGGACAGCAGGGCGCCAAAGTCGGAAAGGACGGTGCTCATACGGAGCTCGCCAAAGGGTCTAGCATTGGACTCGACACGACTCTTGTCCTTGCGAGTGCGCACGCGTTGGTCAAGTTGGACGAGGGCGAGGTCGTTGGTGATCCCATGGAGAAGGCTACGTTGCAGTGGCTTGGCTGGACTCTGGGTAAGAACGATACGCTTATGTGCAAGAATCAGCCCGCTCAGAGCTCTCGTTCGCTCGAGTCTGTTCAGATCAAAAGACGGTTCCAGTTTTCCTCCGCCCTCAAGCGTCAGAGCACCATCGCGACTGTAACACACAATGACCGCAAGACATCCAAGAAGTCTAAGTCGACATTTGTGGGTGTAAAGGGTGCTCCCGAGACCATCCGGTCCATGCTGGTCAACACTCCTCCGGGCTATGAGGAAACCTTCAAATACTTTACCCGCAATGGTGCCCGTGTCCTTGCCCTCGCCTATAAGTACCTCTCGCCCGAGGCGGAACTGTCTCAAAGTCGTGTCAACAACTTCGTTCGGGAGGAGGTCGAGTCTGAGCTGACTTTCGCTGGCTTCCTTGTCCTGCAATGTCCTTTGAAGGATGATGCCATCAAGGCCGTGCGCATGCTGAACGAGAGCAGTCACCGTGTTGTCATGATCACCGGTGACAACCCCCTGACCGCTGTTCATGTGGCACGTCAAGTCGAAATTGTGGATCGCGACGTCTTGATTCTGGATGCTCCTGAAAACGACGTGTCTGGCACAAGACTGGTCTGGCGAAGCATTGATGATAAATTTAACCAAGACGTGGACCCTACTCAGAACCTGGACTCCGAAATCTTGAGAACCAAGGATATCTGTGTCACTGGCTATGCTCTTGCTAAATTCAAAGGCCAGAAGGCTTTTGCCGAGCTCCTGCGTCACACTTGGGTCTACGCCCGTGTCTCTCCCAAGCAGAAGGAAGATATTCTCCTTGGCCTTAAGGATGCTGGATACACGACTCTGATGTGTGGTGACGGTACCAACGACGTTGGAGCTCTCAAGCAGGCCCACGTTGGCGTTGCGCTTTTGAATGGATCTCAGGACGATCTTAACCGAATCGCTGAACACTACCGGAACACGAAGATGAAGGAAATTTATGAGAAGCAGATCGCCATGATGCAGCGGTTCAATCAGCCAGCCCCGCCCGTCCCTGCGCAAATCGCTCATTTGTATCCTCCCGGTCCCGGAAACCCGCACTACCAGAAGGCCATTGAAAGAGAGGCGCAGAAGAAGGGTGCCGCTGCTGCTGCAAATGCTCAGAATCAAGCTGAAGAGATCCCCACCATCACCTCTCCTGGCGCGCAGGCTCTCCAGCAGTCAAACTCCCACCAGACGCCCCACCAGCAACGCCAGCAACAGGCCGCCCAGGCCGCCGCCGGCTTTGCCGATAAGCTCACCGCGTCCATGATGGAGCAGGAGCTGGATGACAGCGAGCCCCCAACTATCAAGCTTGGTGATGCCTCTGTCGCTGCCCCGTTCACCAGTAAATTGGCCAATGTCATTGCGATCCCCAACATTCTCCGTCAGGGCCGCTGTACTCTTGTCGCGACCATTCAAATGTACAAGATTCTTGCCCTGAACTGCTTGATTAGCGCGTACAGTTTGAGTGTCATTTACCTTGATGGAATCAAGTTTGGAGATGGCCAGGTGACGATTAGCGGCATGCTGATGAGCGTCTGCTTCCTTTCCATCTCTCGCGCGAAGGTATGAACCAAAGATTCAATCCCTTTCCACCATTATACTGACTGAGCTCCTAGTCCGTGGAAGGTCTGTCGAAAGAGCGGCCGCAACCGAACATTTTCAACATCTACATCATCGGATCGGTCCTTGGGCAGTTCGCCATTCACATTGTCACTTTGATCTACCTGTCCAACTATGTGTATTCTATTGAACCGTGCGTCCCCGCGTCTGTGATATCTGGATGATCACGACTAACTTTTGCAGGCGTTCATCCGACATCGATCTGGAGGGTGAATTCGAACCATCGCTGCTAAACAGCGCCATTTACCTTCTCCAGCTCATCCAGCAGATCTCTACTTTCTCCATCAACTACCAAGGCCGTCCCTTCAGAGAGTCTATCCGCGAGAACAAGGCTATGTACTGGGGTCTGGTGGCGGCCTCTGGCGTCGCCTTCTCCTGTGCCACGGAGTTCATTCCCGAGCTGAACGAGAAGCTGCGGCTTGTCCCGTTCAGCACGGAGTTCAAGCTTACTCTCACGGTCTTGATGGTCATCGACTATGCTGGATGCTGGGTCATCGAGAACGTCCTGAAACGCATGTTCAGTGATTTCCGGCCCAAGGACATTGCTGTGCGCCGTAAGGACCAACTCGAGCGGGAAGCAGCCCGGAAGGCAAGGGAAGAGATGGAGAAATTGGCCGAGGCCGAGCGGAAGAGAAAGGTTTAGACGAGTCTCTTGTGTGTGGTATGACATGCTTGGGGTGGGATTCATTGCTTTTCAGGGGTTTTGGTGATAGAAGGTCTTTTGCTTTTGCGCATTGGTGCGGGCAATGGGCTATACTTTCGATTATCTCTGTGTATTTCTGATGGTAAATAAAGCTATGTATGTAGAATCCCGAATTGATTGGATTCCGTTGCGGATGAAGCTGGTCGATGCATGTGCTGATGCCTGAGGTGTCTTTCTGCCTCAGGCCTTCGGGGCCCCTCTTTCTGAACCTCTTACGGTGAGCCTCCCCCCATTAGTTACTACTACCTACAACAATCCATCCATTCTCACTCCTCCTTCCCTCCTGCCCCTCTTCCTCCCTATATTTTTCCCTCACCAGTTGCGGGTTTTCTGGTTCCCATGCTCGCATAAATCCCCTGCACTATGTCCCGGAGGACGCTGGGTGGAGGCCGTGTCCTGGGCACCCCGAACGCTCTATCGGGCTCTCTATCATCTCCGCAGCAAAAGCCTCGGGTCCTTTCGCCTTCCGCCAGTAGCCTCTCTCTCAGTTCGCAAGCTTCGGCTTCTCAGTTCTCGACCGAAACCCAGGATCTTACATCCCGTATTTCCCTCGACAATGTCGGTACTTCCATGCCGGCTCCGCCGGCGGCTGCCGGAGCGCAACTGGCTTGTCCGATCTGCAGTGAGGAGATGGTACGCTCTCTCCCTCCCCCCCCTCTCATTGCCGCCTACCTACCTACCCGGCGTCTGCCTAGCGTGGGTATATGCTAACAGTCGTCCAGGTGACATTGCTACAGCTAAATAGGTAACTGTCGATCGTTCCGTGCAGAGAACTAGCTCGTGGCCGGCGATTAATATGCTCCGCAGACACCTCGATGACGTACACCAAAACCTGGAAGACGACCGACAGGATGAAGTCAAAGATTGGTTTAAAACCCAGATGGAGAAGGCGAGACGCTTTCAACCTCTCGCAGTCCTGAATCAGAAATTGAAGGGCCTCGATGTCTTCGAGTCCAACGAAAACCAAGCTTTTGCAGGCGCCAGCCGACCTCATGTCTCCTCACACGCTCCACCGCCCTCGGAACCACCCAGACCCCTCGACCCGGATGATATTATCACCAAGGATCACTGGCAGCCGCGCGGTCTCTACGATGTGTGCCTTGAGCCTTCGTGCGGCAAGCGGCTCAATGCCACCAACGGGTGTGTCCACTGTCGGAAGTGCGGGAAGCTATTTTGCGAGGAGCATACTATGTATCAGATGAAGCTGTCTAGATCGGCGCAGCATGAGCCGGTGCGGGGGTTATGGTGCAGGGTCTGTGAAACGTGCTACAAGTCGCGGGAAGGCTATAATGATCACAATGGTAACTTTGATCCTTTCCCTTGCGCTCCGCCGGTTATGTCTGACATTTGGTAGGGCTGGTGCGGGATCGAACGGATGCATTCAAGGCTGTGAGGAAGCAGACGGTAGACAAGGCTCTCCTGGAAGTGTCGCGGCTGGAGAAGCGGTTGACACGGCTGACCCAGCTATTGGCGAGCTTGCCACCGGAGCAGATTCAGTCCGGCGCAAACAAGCTCTGGTCCATCGCGTGGCAGAATGATCAGCGAAAAGCCCTCGAACAAACCATTGTCAGCTGGCAGGACGACGCGAGCGTCTTGAGATGTCCCTTCTGCCAGCAGGATTTCACCAGTTACACGTTTCGGAGACACCATTGCAGGACTTGCGGGCGAGTAGTCTGCGGCGATCCGACGACCGGATGCTCCACGGAGGTGCCTCTGAGCATCACGCCATGTATGATCTTCCCACGGCTTTTTGTTGATCGATGCTGACGTGCAGACTAGTGTCTCATACATCCGCGGAAAAAGCAAGCAACGCCGAGGTTATCAACATTGATGTTCGGCTGTGTAAGGAATGCAGGGCGACTCTATTTGATCGTCGGGATTTCGAAGCCGATCTGGCACGAAAACCTGCGGATGTGAGGGCTTACGAGAACCTTATGCAATTTGAAAGGGGCATTCGAATTTTGATGCCTAAGTTCCAGAAGCTCCTGGCAGCTTTACAGTACGTTAACCTACAGCATCATTGTTTTGGTGAAGGGTTTCTAACTATGCCTAACAGAGACCCCAAGCGACCACCGTCGTCTGCACAAATAGCAGAAGCTTCTAAGGTTCGCAAGAGGCTGACCGATTCGTTTGCTCAGTACGATGTCGCTGCCAGGCGAATCCGGGATTTGCCCACCGACTCTCCAACACAGAAACTTCTTCAAAAGGCAATCCATCAACAAGCGAGCAACTTCCTTCATCTTCACATGCTGCCCCTTAAGACGTTGCCGAAGATCCTGAAACACGCAACACCCAACGGACGGCTACCGAGCGCGACCAGCAGTCCCAGCAGTCCCAGTCCTTCCAGCGGTTTAAACGGAGGCCACCAACGGCAAGGTTCGGCCCTGGCATCTATCCGGTATGGAAGTGTGGCGGCGAGCGGTAGCAACAGCAGTCTGGCAAGCGATACAAGTAGCGCCATCTCGGCACTGGAGGCCGAAGAGAAGTCTTTACGGGAACGACTGATCGTACTGGAGGAGCAGAAGTTCTTTGTATCGGAGATGATCGCAGATGCCAATCGACGTCGCAAGTTCGACGAGGTGAGCAGTCTGGCCATGAACGTTGAGGACCTCACGCGGGAAATCGACCGGGTCAATGGCATGCTGAACGCGCTGGACTTTGAGGGTATCTACACCGGTGGCCAGCCCTCGGGTGCATGATTTGTTTTTCTGTGGTCCCACGCTTCTGGGACCTTTGTCGCAGGCGGGTATGTCTTTACGATGGGCTGGAATTTTCCTGTCGGGCGCTTCCTTAGGTCGGGCGTTGTGAATTTGCAATAATTGCATAGCATCGGGCGTTCCTGGGTCGGTATTGTTACTTTCCATCTATATTTCTTTCGATAATAATATGACGATATAATTCCATCTCCATTGCGTGACATCCATGGATACACCCATGTCTGGTTGTCAGCACTCTAAGTCGCGGCACATGCCAACATCCAATCCACGTCTTACCCAGCCCGCTTGCAGTATAGAGCTTCCTTTAATCAGTGGATGATGTGATACAGTAAAAAAATCGCCGTGCAAAAAGAGAAGCCGAACGCGGGGGTCGAACCCGCAACCTTGAGATTAAGAGTCTCACGCTCTGCCGATTGAGCTAGCCCGGCTCGCTTGTTGAGAGCCGGCGCGTTTTTTGACTACATGAGCCGGGACGGCACTTGCGCACTAGCGCGCGCCTCGCAGGGGCCAGTCAGCATGATATGTAGTGACACCGTCAGCTGGATGGTGCACTATCTATTGCTGCATGTAGTATATATAATATGGATAGACGGGTGTGTGTGTGTCTCAAGCAATAGGCAAAATACAAGATAATAAGAAGGGTTTTACTATGTAATTACGTTGGGCGGGTTGAGGTCACCGCGATATATATCGGAGGGCTATGCATAATGTCACGTAGTTTGACCAAGGACATTGAACCCCACACTACCAATGGAATGGAAGGCATAAGAAGTACCACTACAAGAGGGGTACATACTGACAGTTACGAGCAAACCACACCCTGCAATCTCATCACACTAGGCGGCAGATAGGATTGGATTCATAGGAGGCAACCAGCCATCGAGGTGCATCGGTCATCCAAGAGACATTCGCTCACGTCCGAAGGCAGCCAAGAAAAAGAAACCCAGAGTGATGAGAGGAAAGAGGAAAGAGGAAGATAATGAGACGCCACCTAGATGATTTCTTTATACAAACGCGTGTGGTGGCATAGATAGAGCCAACGCCTGTCTTCACGCTCAATGACATTGAAATAAATTGACTAAGGATTGTGAATATATAGTCAAAAATGGCAGCCGCTATCAACAGCTCAGCCGGGCTAGCTCAATCGGCAGAGCGTGAGACTCTTAATCTCAAGGTTGCGGGTTCGACCCCCGCGTTCGGCTTTTCTTTTTGATTTTTTGCACCATCTCCGTAGAATGGGAGAACGAACATGTCATCGACCACGAACGGATGCCGAGCAGGGCAGACACGAACTACCAACGAAGAAACACAAGGAGTTGAAGCATGGCAGTCGCGAACAGAGGAAGGCAGAACTGTATATCAAGGTGCACGCACGTATGCGACCCCGAGGTAGTAGCTAAGCTACTCACGCTCAGCGATAGTCGAACTCGACTCGCCGTTAAAACCTCCTGTAACCAACTTCTCATCGGTCAGTAGTCTGACCATCTCCGCCAGCGAATCAATCTGGGCCCTCAATTTTATTATTTCATGGGTAGCACTGTTCGCATTGATATCCGGCGTGGTCTCCTGAACAGCCTGTTTCCAGCTGTCGTCGACCTCAAAGTCGACCTCCTCGGCGATATGCTCCCATTCTTGCACATCATCATCGTCCTCCTCCCCGCGGCGGCGATTCCATCTGATTCGGCGCGCTTCGCGGACCTCCAAAGCAGCCGTGACTAGCAGAAGGGGTGAGTAGAGGACTCCCATCACTATGTCGTTCAGCTTTGCATAGTGACGACGAGGCAACCACCACTCAAACGGGATAATCAGGAAAAGGATCTCGATGAGGTTAAATGCTAAAGGCATGCCTGTTAGCTGGGCCCCATTATTAAGCGCAGAAAAGACTTACGGGGTATGAAGACGTTCTCGTCTGGTGCGCGAACGAACTGCATCGTCTTCTGGGCAAAGATTGCCATGTACTCATCCGTAGAGTTCCCAGCTATATCTTCATATGCACTGTTGTATAGTGCAATGAGAATATTTAGCAGAACTAGACGGCAGTAGTCAGTCAGCGAAACAAGATGCAGCGGGGGGTATCTCCTTACTAGTCATGACGATGAAGTTGAAAATGTAATAGAGGATTATGCCGAATGGAAATGCGAACTCCTCAAAGGTACTGAATTCTGGACTTTGCATCACACTGTTTGCCATCCCCTGAACGATCACCCTGGTGATGGGTATTTCGGGTTCAAACTGCGCCATCCCGAAGAACGCTTGGAAGAAGCCCACCAGGACGACGAAAAGAAGCGCAAAGAAGATTAAACTCTCCTTCATCATGACCCTCAACACAACAAACATGGCGCCGAAAAAGCGGAAGGAGTCGAGGTAGAGCATCATGCGCATCCAGAACATCGGTCCGGAGAAGGCCAGGAAGTTGTAGCTCATTTCGTTGAGTCTCTGTCTCTTCTCATCGCCCGCGGAGGGGGAGTGAGTCAGGGCGGCGATGCGAAGGAAGAACGATACAGCAAGAAGTGCATAAAGGGTCGAGTTGAACGCGTTCCAGAAATCAAAATAGTGCCGGCCAATCTTCCATAGTTTGGACAGCTCATCGCAAATGAACCCGAGGGTCATCACATAGAGGATCCCTTCCACAAAGTCCAGGTCTCCAGTTCGGTTGACCGTATTGATGACCTGGGTGTATAGGATGAGGTACACCAGCGAAAAGAATATCTGGCATGCATTCTGATACTGAGGAGTCCTCATCCTGTCAGGGTGGAAGTGCACAGCGAAACTGGTGTTGTCCTTGTCATGATAGGGCACGAAATTGGTCGGGTTCCCGTCTTCTTGACAGAACCAACCATTCCAGAGATAACGGATGCATTTCTGGTACCCCGAGGAGCCAATGATCCGCAAAGCATGGAGGTCCACGGCACGCTCGATCACGTTGGCAGGATGGGTTTCTTCTCCGTCTACAAAGATGGAGTATCGTTTCAACAAACAGTTGACCAAGAGGAAGTCATGGTCTTCCTCAGTTTCTATGCTGAGAAGCGTTAGTGGTGAGAAACTTAAGGAAACTGGGATGTCCGGTTACATTTTCTTCGCGATGACTTCGCAAGCAAGGGCTCGACGCTCATGGAGATCGGAATCCCAGAGCTCTTCTATGGCCTGGATTTTAAACCATCGCAGACATACGAGTAAGCCGAATAGAATGCAGCCCCGCAGATCGTCACCACCCGCAGCTTTAGCGGTCTGGACTACAGCATTGGTGATGATTTTGCTGTTGGGGTCTGTAATGATACTCTCATCGAGCTCACAGGAGATGACCTGTTCGATCTGGTACTTCAGGCGCAGAGCGACCTTGGTGACTTCCTTGGCAGGATGAGAAGCAGGGATATTGTCGGCGGCGTATGCAGGGAGCACTAAGGAGCGCGTCAGTTGGCTGGGATCCAGCTCCGTTGAAGTGGTGTTTACAATGACGACATACGTCGATGGCGTTCCATGTGAAGACGGTGACGAGCCCGGCCCCGGTCGGCAGCG